CTGTTGATTATTCATTACGGATCGGACGCCCATCCAGAACCAGCCGGTTACTTCACAATATTACCTTGAATACTATTATTAATAACGTCATTCGGATGCAATAACCTTTTGGTCTGAAAGTATTGCTGTTCTCAGAGTGAATTTGTTGAAAAACTACATGCTGGGAATTCCATACTTTCATACATATTATTAGGAATAAAGTGACTATTATTATTATCATTATTATTATTATTATTATTATTATTATTATTATTATTATTATTACCATTGTTAGCTATATCATTTAAGCCTTTCGTTGTGCGAAATAGCTCATTAGATGACTTTTTATCACTATGGACCTCATATATTCGACATATTTTAGCACTTTCATGCATATATGTGCTGGATCACGCAACAAACTGTAGAGAGCGAGAAGAGGGGGATACACTGGACCGCAGAAAAGAACCCAGAAGATTAAGATTTCACCGATGACTTGTGTTTGATGTCACACAAACTCGAAGATCTACAGGCAAAATCTAACAAGTTGACAGAAGAGGCAGGGCAGCGAAGATGGGACTTCAAGTGAATATAGAGAAGACAGAGGTGATGAAGATACCGAACCAACATCACCACCAACAACAAGCTCCAATCACGATGAACGGAAGAAACTTGAAGTAAATAGCCTCTTTCATCTGTCTAGGAAGCACTGTTTCAACTACAGGCAGCGGCACAGATGAGGATGTCTAAACCAGCATAGGAAAAGCAAGACAGGCGTTCATCAACCTGAAACCAATGTGGAAATCTTCTGCACTCAGCATGAAGCGTGAACAACATCCGGATTTTCAACACCAATTCAATCAAGTCAGTGTTTCAGAGACTTGGCACGTTACAGAAAGGATTTCCAACAAATTACAGATATTCATCAACAACTGCCTACACTGGTTCGTTACTCAAGCTCAGATGGCCAGAATGATTGGAGTAAGCAACAAGGAAATCAGGAAACGAACCAACCAAGAACCTCTCACTCAACAAATATGCACTGAAAGGAAGTGGAGATGGATTTGGCATACACTGAGGAGACTATTGGGGATATCACGCTCCAGGTTAGGGTCTCGAGTGGAAGCCATATGGGAGACGATGAGTTGGGTGTTCGAGGTGGTGGGTGACATGGAGGAGATCGTGTGAGGAGTAAATGGGAGGTTGTGGGCTGTCGTGGATCCAGGTTGAAAAGTTTGCAGAGAGGAGGGTGGAATGGAGATGTGCTAGTGAAGCCCTATGTTCGACTAGGAACTCAAGGGACAAATAATAATAATAATTTAGAACAGTTTGCAAATTTAATATTTTCCCTCGTAATTTTCCTTTGTTGGTTGGATTAACTTGATAACACCCACTCATTGTGGTGCACACATATCCAGCTGAGAAGTCTAAAATAGTCTGGAACATCTGTCTTGAATCCCGTTACTAGCCCCTTATACATCATTATTATGAGACGGATTTATTTAATTATGTAGCTAATCTATACGATTAGTTTAAGTGTTAGGTATAAAAACTTTGCTTAAATATGTGGATTATTAGGAAAAACAGTACAAAATGTAATGGTGTTTTGATGCCTTAGAGATATGTTTTGAGTAAATAAGTCTAACTGGAATCGTATCCCTAGCAGTCTTGTAGGTATGCACTTCTGAAGAGTCGCATACTAGTTGAACAAAACAGCTATTCAGTGTTCCCAGATTTGTAATTGGTCCTTCAGGCGATATCAGTTCGTGTTGTATACCATCTTTATACTGGTTAATCATTCACCTCATAAGTCTTCAAACATAATAACATAGCAGTTTAGCACCGGGAATGACTGTATTCAGTATTCATGAGTGATAATACTTCTTTACACAATGACAGGTTTGTATATAACTAGCTGATTACAAAGTAGTCTTCATCATGGGAGAACTTCTGATGGATATATATATATACGGAACATTGGGAAGCCGTTTAATTCTGAAGTTAGCCAATGGTCTCTCTCAATGCTAGGCTATTAACTCTAACCACAGGCACAAACAAGACTTGTGTGAACTGCTGACGTTCTATGACTCCCACCATTGCATCATTTGTGGTATTTCTGTAGAAAGTAAATTGAGTACTACCTATCTTGGATTGACTTTTACTTCTGATCTTCGTTGGTTGTCTCATATCTTATTGACTTGCAAAAAAATCTTTCTTCCAATATATATTACATACACAAACTGAAGTTCTCTTATATATTACCTATTCTTCTCTATTATTTCCCGTTGATCTTTCCTGGTTTACCACTATACAAGGACTATGTTATATTGTATAGGTCTTTGAAAGCCGTCAGTCAATAGCATGAGTAGTGTGCCTCTAGCCCAACTGATTAACACTGTGGTAGTTGATAGATATTTAAATTCTAGCAAACAACTAGCCACAGTAATTTTGATTGACACTGAACATCAACTTCATTCACACTTCTGTCTCCTTGTATCTCCTCACAGGAAGGACAAGAAGAAACTACCTAAGACTGTACGCTAGTAAAGCCAAGTACAAGAAATCGACTGCGCCTCGCTTACACCTAACAGACAGATTACGTGAGGACAAAAGGGTGTTAGAGCAGTACTCACATATCAACTTTCCAACAGTTAACACTCTCATTTCAATAATTTAGTTAACAATGTAAAATGTTCTCTTTATTAATATTCTTTACACAACTTAAATTTTTATGATAACACAATTCGAAATATTGTCAAGGTGCATATACATACATACATCTCTACTTTGTTGTTGTTGTTGTTAGAATACATCATGCAGCGAATTCCAAACTGTGCCACAAATTGTAAAGATGGACAGTGGTTAGCAGTGGAATCCGCGATGCACATTTCGTCCTATTCGGGACTCCTCAGTTGGATGTATCTATCTCCCAGTGAGTGATATTGTCCCCACCGAGATCCGAACTCGGGAGCGATGGCTTCAAACGTCAGAGCGTTATCCACCGCGCCACCGGGCCACGATAGCCACTTCTTGTGCGATGGGTATCGTTTAAGTATAATTGGTTGTATTATACCGTTGTTGATTGAACCGAATTGATCGGTGTGTATTGGCATATGGGCTCCTGTGCGGATGTCTCGATATTGCCTGTGTTTTTGCTGTTTATGCTTTCGTTCTTGTTGGTATTGATCAGCTAGACACGTCTGAAATGACGGATAAACTTGTGTTTTTTGTAACTGATAGACTTTGTTCAATAATTAGAACTTTGGAGTTTAAAGCTAAAATCATTAGCATCTGATTTCTGATTCCTATCATGTTTGTGAGATTTAACTACTCCAAGGATCTTGATACTTTAGTGGACACTGCTGATCAGGATGGGCATAAGTAGCTTATGTTGACAGGATGGCAGAAATGATGGGCAATTGCCAGCTATGGGTAACGATTCTGCACAAAGAAACGCAAGAAGCAGTTCGGGCGTATTAGGGGCAAATCAAGATAGAAACAGAAGAGGAAACGAAGCACATCATGCAAATGACTGTTTTAGTGGGTGGTGTACAATATTTGATGATCACTGTACAGGATGTCAATAGTGAACATTCCTACTTTCATCTCCTTCTTATCGTCTTTTACAGCTGGTGTCGCTGTTTCCGGACGTGATGAGGAGGATGAAGAAACTAAGGTTTTCCCTAGAGATTTCAAGTCGGTCTTAGAACTTATGGGCATCCAGGATCCAGGAGAGAAGGTCGTGATGCTTAGCACGTTGCTATGTGGTACAGCGAAAGCAGCATATGACAGCGTGGGACGCGTGGATGGGAAGGAGATTTTTAAGAGAATGATTGAACGACTGAAGGCGGAGTTTGACAACCCAGCAGACAAGCAGCTGGCGATACAACAGCTCCAGAGCACGGAACCTAGAATGGACAAAGACCCACTCGTGTTGACTGTGAAGTTGACTAAACTACTTCGATGAGCACTTCCCACTGGATGAGGACTCTCAAGAGCAGTTACTGGCTGCATACTTCACTGAAAGTGTTCCGAATGCTATCACCCAGCAGCTATGACTAATGAACGCAGTTCAACCCATGGATATTAGTAAGCTGGAGAAGGTCACTAGACAGGTAATGGGTACAGCAGTAGCTGCGGTGAAGTCACCAGAAGTAAATAACTGGAAAAAACGCTAGCCTACTTCAAAAATGTAGACGGTGGGAAAAAGAAAAAGTATTGCACGAACACCAAGAAAAGAAAGCACAAAGACGATCAATACGGATGTAAACCTGAAGTTTTGATGTGGGGACGAGTGTAGTGGGCGTTGCTGACCACAGTGGATACAAGTAGTATATGTTGAGAGGGCGCAGAAATCATAGGCAATTACCAGCAATGGGTAAAGATTCTGCCTATAGAAATGCAAAAGACAATGTGGGCGTATTAAGAGTAAATCAAGGTAGAAACAGAAGAGGAAATGAAGCACACTGTGCAAATGATTGTTTTAGTGGAAAGTGTACAATATTTAATGACTACTATACAAGATATCCAAGGAACTCTGGGAACGAACCAACGAAGCAAGAACCTATCACCCAACACATATGCAGAAGAAAGTGGAGATGGATTGTGTATGCACTTATAGAAGGCCGACTGGGGACATCACGCGCCATGCCAGGCACTCTAGTGGAACCCAGATGGGGAACAACGAGTTGGGCGTCCGATGCAAGAATGACGTGGAGAAGATCATGTGAGGAAGTAATGAAAGCTTACGGGCAGTCATCAATCGAGGTTCAGAAGACTGCAGAGAAGAGAGTGGAACGGAGGCATGCTTCTGAAGCCCTATATTCCACTAGCAACCCAAGGGAAAATAATAATAATACAAGATATCATTAATAAATATTCCTTTCTGCGTTTCAGTCTCGTCGTTTTCTACACTACTACTGATGGGATTGAGTAATTAGAAACTGCTTTGTACACCTGAAATCCTTTTCACTTCATACAATTTATAGGTTTCCGAATTTATGTTGCATAAAGTGTTCACTTACTCAACAAGTATTCGTCCATTCTTCAGTGTCCTTTGAACATTTTCACGTCCAAGTGGTATATTCTGTCCAGTTAGTTGTTGTATCCAACCAATAACTTGACGTTCTGCATCTGGATCATATCTGCTATTTAACTAAATCAAGAAAGAAAGAAAACAATGAGGATCACAAGTGAAGCTTTGTCATAACCAGTTAGAGAAAATCTGTTCATGTGGTTGATAAAGTATATAGAGGAGAGAAGACCACAAGTTCGTCATCACTAAGGAAGGACTCATCATGGATTGCTGAAAACCTGGATGAACTGGACGACTGTTTCGCCCTATTATGGAATTCCTCAGCAGCACACACCCTCACGTCCACCAGGAATCGAACCCTGGACCTTGAAGTGTCGCCGGGAAAGCATTAAACATTCAGCGATTTGGTCACAGTTCAATAGTCCACAGAGTCCTAATTCTATAGCCCGACTATCCACCAAGGTCTTCAGTTGGCATCCGCTTCACTTCCGATTAATGAACAATAATTACTTACAATATACCATTCAGTGATGGTGGGCTAATCAACTAACTGCGGAATAACCTGGAGATGGAAAAAATGGGGAGATAGATAATAAAGGCTGAATAGAAAGAAGGCCTTCTGTTCACAAATTTTAGTTTATTAGGTGAAAAAATGTCATGAATTAGGTGCGTGCGGCTGAGGAGTCCAACATGGGGACGAAACACCTGTATTGTGCTCCCAAGATCAAAAAAGATCCTCCAAATGATGTCTAGCCATGGTGAATCTCCACGTTAAACATAAAATTCCATCATTTACTGTAAAATGTTCATTAATGACATACTTCGAGATGGATATCCAGAAGTTGTAATAAGAAACCATAACCTGTGAGATCAGCCAGTCGCAAGGGATGCGGATGTCAACCGAAGACCTTGAATGACAGCTGAGTTGAGAGAAACAAGAGACTGTGGATCTTTGAACTTCCACCTAGCAGCTGAAAATTTAATGTGTTCGCCGTGAAACCTAAAGAACCTGTTTTCTATTCGTGGGTACACACTTCTGAGGAACCCCGTACTGGGACGAAACACCTGTCCACTATCCCCAGGATTACAATCATTCTCCAAATGATGTCTGTCTATGATGAAAAATACCTCTAAATTAAAAATCCCCATTCATCTTAAAAATACATTACTGTATAGTGCTCATTAGTGACTTGCTTGTAGATGGATATCAAGAAGCTCTAATGAGAAGCCGTGACCTGTGCAGTCAACTAGTCGGAAGTGAAACGCATGCCAACTGAAGACCTTGAATGATAGTCACGCTATATCATGAATTGGAAATTGTGAACCACTGGAAACGGACCCAGTGGCTGAATATTTAAATCGTTCGCCGTGAGACCTAATGGACCTGTTTTCGATTCGTGGGCGTATACTGCTGAGGAGTCCCATACTGGGACGAAACAGCTGTCCAGTACTTCCAGGATTACAGTCGTTCCCCAAATGATGTTTGTTCATGATGAATACTACCTAAAATCAATTGAATCGCCAAGGAGTAAATGACACAGACTGTACAATCGTCTTGAGAATACAAAAATTTAGTTTGTTGAAGCGTATAAGACTAGTTTTTACTGTGTTTAGCAAGTGAATACACGAACTACGCCGAAGACTAAATGGTACAAGGTACCTAATTGTATAAGCTTTGCTTGCATTCACTGTATGACCAGTATGTACAAAATCTGCAAACATTGAGTTTCTGAATGTTAACATCTTTATCCCTAATTGGTAAAATACTTGTAAAACAAAACAAACTGTTATGCAACAGTAGTGTAAGACACAAGAACCGAATGCTCATCCAACTCTCATTCTTCAAACCGATGTAACCACTGGATGTGTGCAACAAGAGTATTTCAGGGTTCAACTTGATGAAGCTTCAACCAAAAAAATTCATATTTGCAAGAGTTTTCATCCTCTTAGTGTGATACAATGGATACAGAGTTAAGATGTGGATAATAGGTGTGAGGATGCATCTACGCCACTGACATCGGTCCTCTGCCATTTCACCTACAGTCACTCTCCAACCACTGCCTTCTCTTGTCCCACAGACCCCTACCACCCAGTCTCCATCGCCCCACACAAATCAAACAAACAGTCAAACACTTCATACATTGATAACATGTTTAAGTCTGGCCGCCTCTAGCCCTTTTTCAGTTTCAACCTACTTCGCCCAACATTATGTGACGAGATAGACGGCGACTAGACATATGTAACACATGTCCCAACCAGCCATCTCACTCCATCAATGTTCACAACCACATCGACTGACTCAATTGATCTCTTCTCCCTCTCTTAAACTCTACACCTCACTTCTGTGTTACTCATCTGCTGACAGCATGACACACCATGGTATATGCTACAAAGCCAGCTGTGGTCAAACACTTGAAGCCTTCTCATATCTTCCACACTCAATACCCATGTTTCACAGTCATACAGTAGAACAGACCGGACTGCTGGGCAGTACACGCCACCCTTAGTAGACAATCGGATATCACGGCGGCACTTGATCTTACCTTCCAGGTAAGTGAAGTGGTCAACACACTCAATCACTTCACTCTCTATTGTTAGCTGAAGCACCACTGAACACCAATCATGGAGCAACAATTTCCATCTAGGTGGTGAGAAACGCATCTCAAACATTCTCAAGTTCCCACTCAAAGTGTTCAGTAGACTCTGCATCTTGTCAGCGTCTTCACACAACTAACAGGACTATGTCATCTGCACATTCCAGGTCTAACGAAAATTCTCCCACCATTAAATCAGCCTCTGTATAGTCAGGTGACGAAAGAGAGACCTCCAGAAGAATATCCATCAACAGCCTACAGTTGAAGATACTTGGAATTATTCAAAGAAAAACACTGATAGAATGAATGCGTATCAACGGAAAACTACTTCAAAGGACAATCTTGACAAGTTCATCTTATCAGGGCACGAAGAAAGTGAGCAAACGACAGAATCTATTAGTTAATTGATGCCATATCTGTTGACAAGCCAACTTCCCAATTTCATTAATATAGCCAACGACTTACTAATAAGAATTTCACGAAGAGAGTTTAGACGTATAATCCACAAATGGAAACCATTAGACAGTGGATGACTGTCATGCACTAGTCTACATTTTCACGTGTATTCAAATTCTAAGTATATTACCTTGTCACTAGACGGTAACCGACTTCATTTTGTGATGTAGCCATCAGACTGCGACACTCACCATCGCAATCCACCGAGATAGTTGTCAGCTGAAAACAAGAAGTCCTGCTTAGCGTGGGTTTCGAACTTCCTATTACTCATGAGGGACGGTATAACTGCAATCACGAGAGAAATGATAAACCGCTTGTTATAAGAACCCTCATCAATTCGTGTTGCAGTCAGCGATGTCATCAATGAGGTATTCCTGTAATGTATTGGTTTTTAAATTTAGTGTAAAGTAGAAGGAGAGAGATGAACTACAAGGTTACTTAAAGCTGAATTACATAATCATACCTTGTCAAACTCCCGAAGAAGGGAGACCTAAGTCTCTGCAAGAAATGGCACGGAATCATGCTCCTGTACACACCAAGCGAAATATTAAGCCACATCATCTTGGAAACAATAAAAAATACTCTCCATTCAAAGTTACGACAGGAACAGCCTCACTGAATTCAGAAAGAACAAATCATGTGCGCATCAAATTGAAACGCTACACTACACATCATCATACAACAGAGCATAGAATACCAGTCAACCATCTACCTCAACTTAATCGAAGTTCAAAAGGTCTTCGATCGAGGCATCGACGGACAGGTAATTTGGCAAGTGCTTCAACACTACCGTTTCAGTGCCACAAACCTCTATCAACCTCATTCAAAAGCCAGTTTATGCTACATGACAATCAGTGATTCACAATGGGAAGCTCAGTGATGCGTTTGAAGTGAAGATAGGTTGACAGGTAAGACAATGTCAACGCATACTATCACCGATCATCTTCCTGATTGTGATAGAAGCGACTCTACTGCATCATGCAAGAAACAAATGTGAGAGGCTGTGAGAAGATGGGCATATGCTGTTTGACCGATGAGAAGACCCTAGAACAATTGCATTCCCCCATGATGATTTATGTCCAATATCTAATATCACGCAAACTCGAAGAGAGTACAGGCGAAAACTCACAAGTTGGCAGAAAAGGGGAGGCGAGGCAGTGAAAGAAGACGGTACTTCCTTCAGGTGAACGTAGGGAAGACAGAGATGATGAGGATACCCAGATTACTGTCAACCATCACAACAAGAAGCACCAATCATTTTGAACGGGAGAAATCTAAATGAAGTTGTTTCTTTCACCTACCCACCCACCCAGACAGCATCGTTTCAGCTACAGGTGACACTGGCACACATGAGGTTGTGAAAGTCGGGATGGGGAAGACAGCCAGACAGGCCCTCACTAATCTGTGGAGATCAGTGTGGAGATCTACTGCACTGCAGTGCATTCAGCATAAGGCGTGAACAAGATGTTGATTTTCAACACCAATCCAGTCAAGCATGTCAGTGCTTCTATATGATGGTTCATGAAGGGACTTGACGCCTTATGAAAAGCATTTCCAACAAACTGCAGATATATGTGGACGGTTGCCATCTACGCAGCATACTGACAGTGAACAGCAGATGAGATGGCCAGAAAGAATAATCAAGTAGGCAGTCTTGCCTGACACAGAAGCATCCAGCTGAGAAGCAATCGCCCGACAAATATGCAGAAGAAGAGAGTGGAGATGGATTGGACTGAATTAGATTGGATTGGACACAGACTGAGAAGACGGTTTGGGGATATCATGCGTCAGGTCAGGCCAGACTAGGATGTTGAATGGAAGCCAAATGGGAAAGGACGAGTTGGGTGTCCTAGGTGAGGGTATTATGGAAGACATGGTGTGAGGAAGAAATGAAAGGTAATGGGAAGTTGTGTAGCCAGGTTATAAAGACTGGAGAGAAGAGAGTGAAATGGTGATGTGATACTGAAGCCGTATGTTCCACTAGGAACCCAAGTGACTGATAACAATAATAATAATAATACAATAACATCAAGAGATTTGTCACATAGATCCATCTCGATGAAAGGATTA